AACACTGCTATGTGTGGTAGAACTTGTGCATCAGCGGTGAGGTTGCTGACCAAATCTCTCACTCGCCTTCATTATTATTTATTAGTGTTTTTTAGGATAGTTGGTATGTACCATCCAGCATGTTCTCAATATGTGAAATGTCATCTCATTTGCATAAATAGTTACAAAGCTGCATAATTAATGACAATTTAATTAGCATAATATAGAAAACATAAAATAATAAAGCAGACCAAGAGGTAATCACTTTGGCAACTTAGTAGACATCTAGTACTTCAAAGCATCGTATTATTCCTTTGGTTTATATCAGAGCCTGTAGATAGATATTCCTTGTGTTGCCATGGTATTCTTGTCAAATCTGTGTAGGGGAAATCTGTTTTAAAATGTACACCTCAGATTTAGCCTTTTATAAGTTATTTCTTCCAGCTGGTTAGGTATCATAGTAGGATATTATGTAAAGAATTTTTTGAGACTTTGTATTGCTCCTCTTAGGAGCACTTATTTGCAGGGTACAGAGGAAGAGAGATTTTCTTGACATTTCACTTTGTTGTTTCTTTGGTTTGCTTTTATTTGATACACAATGAGTACAGCTAGAACACTAAACCACTACTCAAAACTGTCTTTAAGCATAGCAATTTTTGGAAAGTATTGCAAAACCAGCTGGTATATCTCCATCCCTCCTCTCCAGTAGTTAGAGATTAGAAAGTTACAAACCTTCTGAAATCAGCGTAATCGGCCTTTGAAGACTTTAAGAGGGGTTTTTTTGGGTTGTTTTTTTTTTTTTTGGTAATATTATGAACATATATGTAAGCTAATGGCTTCTGTATGAGCACTGCTTATACATGTGGTAACTACCTAAGACTATAAAAGCTGCCACGCTAAACCAGTTGTGGGACCTGTGCATGCCACTAAATTCAAAAGCAAACAAACAATACTCCTATCCCTTAAAAAACCCTCAAACCTCCAAAGCAAAATTTGAGTGTTTTTGGGATAGCAGAGGCCAATTCTGCTACAATACAAATAGAAATACCAGTTCAAGTGAAGACAGCAAAAAAAAAAATAGAAATTATTACATGCAAAAAAGGAAGATGGCCTCAAGAATTTGGGAAGTTTATGGCCAACCTCCACTTAATGTACAGATGCACATTATTTTTGCCAGCAGACATGAACAAACTTTACTCACACTGTGAGATGGCTGGAAGCTCTATGGCTGCAGCTGAGCCTCTGCTGGGAGACCAGGGGGGTTCCAGACAAGTCTGGACACAGGCATCTGTCTGCCACACAGATACACACGTAATTCCATAGCAACTTTGCTGAGCCACTATAGAATGAAGAGACCACTGTCAGGATAAGGATGTAGAAGGCTCTGCATTAAGCACTGATTTAGAGATGTCACTTAAGCACATAGGAGTTGGTAGACTAAAATTGCATTGGCAAGGGATTGTCCAAAAATGAGGTCCTGGGGCAGTCTATTTTATTTGACGCAAAGATTATCAGAGTGTTACTGGAATCAATACTTCTTGGTTTAAATTATTAAAACCTCTTACGCTACTGCAAGAAGCTGACTGCTAAGATTTGTGATTGCAGTAATTTGCTCCTAGGGGACTTTCATGTAAATTGGGTAGTTAGTTGTTTTAAGAGGCTTTGTAGGGAAGTTCACGTTCACTCTTAAAAGGATTGAAGGACGTTCTAGTACTGTGCTTCCTCTGATTTTACTGTTAGCAGCTTAGAAGGAATTTTGGGGAACTTCAATATTAAAGCAGAAAGCTTTGGAGTTACTTCATAGAATCACAGAATAGTTTGGGTTGGAAAGGACCTCTGTAAAGGGCAGGGACACCTTCCACTAGATCTGATTGCTCAAAGCTCCATCCACTCTGACCTTGAACACTTCCGGAGAAGGGGCATCCACAACTTCTCTGAGCAACCTGTTTCAGTGTCTCACTGCCCTCATTGTAAAAAATCCTTATTTATATCCAATACAAATCTACTCCCTTTCAACTTAAAACTGTTGCCCCTTCTCTCACTACAGGCCTTGGTAAAAAGTCTCTGTCTTTCTTATAAGCCCACTTTATTGAAAAGCTGGTATAAGGTCTCCTCAGAGCCCTTTTCTCCAGACTGAACAACTCCAACTGTCTCAGCCTGTCCTCGTAAGAGAGGGGTTCTACCCCTCTGATCCTTTTTGTGGCCCTCCTCTGGACCTGCTCCAACAGGTCTATGTCTTTCTTGTGCTGGGGACCCCAGAGCTGGACACAGTACTCCAGGTGGGATCTCATCAGGGTTGAGGAGGGGGCCAGAATCACCTCCATCGACCTGCTGACTGTGCATCTTTTGATGAAGCCCAGGATTTGGTTGGCTTTCTGGGCTTCAGACACTGTCTGAATTTGATGACAGCCCAGGGAGAGCTGTGCTCTAGACATGGTATGCTGAGCACTTTTCATCCAGTGCTTTTAGTCTATTGATAAACATTGAACGTTTTAATGCCAGAAGATGTTTCTGGCATTAGATAACTGGTTTCACTGTTTTATTAGGAAAATAACCATGTGTTAATTCACCCAGTACCACAAAAGGCCAACAACTGACTTGGAAATGCAGCCCAAAATATTGATGCCCTAAATTTGTATTTCATCTCCATTATACTTCTTTCTTTGCTCATTGTCTCTTTAACTTCTGAGTCTTTTGTGAGTGTTTCATAGGGCATATTTCTTGGTTTGTCCTGAATTCAGGCAGCTAGAGTCCATGGATAGTTAAAACTTGTTTTACGCATTACTTACAGACTTGGAAGCATTTCCTAAGCAAATTGTTCATTCCCGAGGCCCTCTTTCCTGGAACACTTGTCTGCTAGGTCAAGATAAATGCACTGAGAACTGGACTTGATGTAACCATCTACCATTGGCTTGATAGATGCAATTAGATTGACAACTGTGATTTGGCTGGAAGGAATGCTGTGGGAGTAAGGCAACTTGCCATCAGCCATAAATGTGGTCATAAGTGTCTAGCAGGGTGAGCAGAATGAAAGGACGTGAGGAATCTCATAAAACGGAAAAGAAAATCAAAACAGCCCAATTTGGCATTTAATGAAGTTGCTGTTCAATCAGTTACTTCTCAGTCAACGTCGCTTACACTGGTGAAATCTTGCTCCAGTGGCTGAAGGCAGAACTTGTAGAAACTGTTCACGTAGCTCAGTCTCAGTGCAGTTTTGATGAACGTATTTAGGAGTTAACTGGAGTGATGGTCTCCCTCTCAAGTTTTCTTAATTCTAAATGAGCTTTCATTCTATATACAAAGTCTTTAAAATGGCCGTGCGATTTGGTCCTTGGAGTTACTTGCCATCTCTTTTCCCTTCTTCAGGCACATTATCTTTCTATCCCAAAGTTCCATGAAGCTGCAGTTTGGTCTGCAAAAACTGATTTGTGCAAACAGAATGCTTTCCAAAAGCAGTAAAAAAGATCTGTCTCCGGATTTTTAGGAGTTGGATCACTCCTTGCTTCTAAATCCCTATCATGGTCTGTACACCATGTATGCATCAGTCTGGCCTTCAGAGTGTAGCTATAATGAGTGGAAGGGACAGAGTACTTATTTCTAAGAGGAAAGGAGCTAAACACAACCTCATTGGCTGCAGTTCTTTATCATTTATGTAACCTGCCAAATTGAAGGTGATATAGGAATGCCTTTTTTCTTTTTTTTTTCTTTTCTTTTCTTTTTTTTTTTATTCCTTTACCCTTCTATCTTGCTACTCTTCACTGTCAATGCAAGTTTTTCTTTAGGAAATGTGGATTGCAGGAGAACTCCAACTCTGTTTCAGAAGACAAGTTGTTCAACATCGGGCTTTAGGGCTTAAACCAGCAGCTATTTCAGCTGAAAGAGCTCCCATTGAGGACAAAGGAGGATAGCAAACATCTTCAACAAGAAAAACAAAGTTTATTCATTTAGTGTTGAGATGACTATAAGTAACAGAGAAGCTAATGAAATTATTTTAACTTTCTGTAAAGTGTGCTTACGACCTTTGAAGTTATAAATAGCAAGATTGTTTTCTTCTGAAGTGGTTTTAAGTTTTTACTTCCCCTCTTTTAAACATTTTGGTTTCTTTCACTGAAAATGCTAATCATAGCATGTTGATTGACACTTGTTTATTATTATATTGATTTATTATGTATGTTTACACAGGTGTGCTTTCTAACATATGGTTTCAGTTTTGTAAAACTATTAATATAAAAAATTGCTGTGTGAATTTCTTGCTTTTGGTTATACAGACCTCATAAGAGTCAATGACCAAGCAGAAAAGTTGTCTTGCTTCTGTTCTGAGTTTTACCATAAACACAAAAGCATTCCACTTCAGTCGATTCACTGCCTTGTGACAAAGGGTGATATAACCCACTGGTTAGATATGGTATTTCAGGTCCCTCTCTAAGCTTGATTCACAGAAGTATGTGTTGTTACAGATCCTAGTCTGTACTAAGTCCAGCTGTAATGTAGTAACTCAGATTTGTAGCCTTGAAGATTGCCTCTTTTACATTCCTTCCCATCAGACTGGAGTAAACTGTGACAGTAATGAATTGCTGATTTTAAAAAGTAGATTAAAAAAACAGAGTATAGCTATTAATTAAGTCAACCTCTTTATTTGCCTCTGCTTCAAATTTTCAAACTGTGAGTAGTGTCATGCCTTAGGAACAATGGTTTCACTGGTGATTTCATTAACTATGTATGTTGTTCTTATTCACATACTTGTCCTATTAGGTCAAAAACCTTCATTGTTTGTTTAGACAGTTGAACTAAAGCTAGCCTCTAAGTCCTAATTTGCAAGAAGGATGCTTTTCATCAAACTTGCAGCATTTCATAGGGGCATTGCTCATAAAATTGGAATTCTGCAGCCAACGCAGGCCTTAAAATATTGCAAAATAAAGCCAAAGCGCATTGTCAAATGTAATACAACTTTAAATGATTATGAATGAAAGCAATATGAAGATTCAATGATTCATTTCAGTGTGTGCTTGTTTTTCCCCTAGGTGGCATTGGCAGGGTCGTCAATGGTGCTTTTATGGTATTGAAAGGTCATCGGTCAATTGTAAACCAAGTCCGGTTTAACCCTCACACTTACATGATCTGTTCTTCAGGCGTTGAAAAGATCATAAAGGTAAGATTAATTATCAGAAAATGTGTCCTTTCAATATTTCAGGATAAATGCTTTGTTTAGCTCAGCATCATTCTTTTTCACACCCATCTTGTCTTCCCATCTTACTCATTTGTAAAATGGGATGTCTCATTTGCTGGCTATACTGATGCAAATTTTTAATTGGGCATTTCAACTGTAAACTCCATTTCAATTTTAAAGGTTTGAGATATAAGGGATAAGATGAGAATTTCCCAGATTTGTACCTTGAAAAAGAAATATTTTTTTTTTTCCAGTTTCTTTCTGTACATAACTGAAGTATGATGCAAACAGTCCTTTTCTGGAGAGTTTGATCACAGCTTTAACATGTTTAAGACTTCCGGCAGTTTGGTCTAAAATGTAATAACAATCTCTCCAAAGAGTATCGTTGAGCCTTGGCTTAGCCTGACCTACCTGAATTTGGCCCAAATACTGCCTCAGAAGCCCTTCTATAATTTTTGAGTGCGCTTCTGCATTGAATCAATTCAACATACCTTTCTGTGACTTCCAGAGGAAATAGGGCTCTTAATACCTTCCACAATATGTCTTTTCTGAATCCTCCAGCAACGTACAGTATTTTTAGAAAGTTTGTGTTCTTTTTTTATGTGGAATGTTAAAGAGATAACAAACTTAGGTTCTGAAACAGAAGCAGAGGTTGAGGGTGGAGAGGCGGAGGATTATGCTGCACTAATGCACTTTGCATTCTGCTGCCATAGAAATTTTGCTATAATTTTGGTCTACCAACAAGATGAAAGAAAGCAGAATGATTGAATTTTTAAGTAGGATAACGAGAACTGATGCTGCTTCTATTTGTTGAATGACTTCATAAAAGTCTTACCTGCATGTGGCTATAAATGAGGTTGTTTGAATATTAGTAAATGCTTTAGTCAGCTACAAGTTGACTGAGTGAACTTGTCCCACAAAGGAAAGTGTAAGTGGTCTGCAACTTATGGACCAGAACTGGCCCAAAACCCTGGGACCGTGGCCCAACGTCCAGCTGCATCACTTGCATTACAGCTGCCATCAGCATTTGGGTTCTGATTGTGGTTCAGCTTTTCTTCTCTTCTACTTTCCACTGATCCTGTAGTTTGCTTTTCTACTTTTTTCTTCAGCTGTGTCCTCTGACAGGTTTGATCACAAATCTATCGAGTCCAGGCTTTGAACAAAAAGTGCATCGAACGGTCTTAGCAGCTCACTGAGTTTCCAGTTTCCAAGCAGTCAAACTGCCGCTGTTTAACAACAGTTTTGCCAGAGGCTTTTTTTTTCTTTTCTTTTGAGAACTTGATTCACAGCCTGAATTCTCCCTTTTGGATTTTTGATCTGCTGACCCTTCACCCGATGAATCCTTCCTGCATGAGTGTTCTTAGACTGTTGGATTAGCATTGGTATAAACATCCCCTGTGTTGCTTTTGTGTACTTCTGCTAGGGCTTCGGCGGGGTTTGTGTTTTTTTACCTAGTGATTAAAAGGTTAGTTTGATTAAGGCTCCAGTCACAGGTTGTGTAACTCTTTCAAAGACACCTCTGCTTGACTGCCTCCTCAGAAGAGAACGCCTGTTGTGTCGCAGTGTGTGCAATGGAACTCGTGGAGCTGCTTTGAAGGAACTGAATCCCCCATTGCAAGCTAGAAACAAATTAAGGGAAGGGTGTTTCATGTGTTAAGTTTATTAGCGAGCCAGAACTTCTTACCCTTTTGTTGTATGTCGTTTTGTCTCGGCTTGTAGTGTGCCTTGTTTGGGGATCAGGTTGTTTTAAGGCTCCTGTCCTGTCTGATCATCGTGACTTTGCTCTTAAAAGGTACTGTCTTAGTGAACAGTGGTTTGTGGGTGACCATACAATGGTGGTTTCTTCTTCGTTCCAGCTACTTCTGCAGAGAGGCTGGAGGTTGGTAACTGCCACTAGCACAAGGGCAAACCAGGAAAAGCACCACCAGCAGTTCTGAGGGGCTATTTACTGCATTAAAACCAGCTGGGAACACAATTCCTTCCCGTGCATGGCTGTCTTTCCCCCATACAAATGCTTGATGTGCTTGCTCAGAGAAGTTGAGAACAGGAAAAGCCATAAATAAATGTGATAGGGTTTTTTATGTTTTCTTGTTTTGTTGGTTTTTATTTGTTTGTTTCTCAGTTCCTTAGGAAATGTCCTTCCTTTAACTGTCCTCCAAGTGTCTTCTAAAAATCTTTCTGGAATGAAATCACAGAAGATAACTTCACTGTGATTGGCTGGTATTCCATTCCCTCAATTGTAGAAACCCTGTGATGAATTAAAAATGTGGATGCAAGTAGTTGTTTGTCTGAGCCCTTAATTTTTAGACTAGCTGGCCTAAATTTAGTACTTCTAGAAGTGAGGAACTGATAGCACCAGCATCAAGGCGTGATACAGACGAGCCATTCAATAGTTCCACGTGCTTCTGCCAACACACTTGCTATTTTAATGCTGATTGCAAATGAGATAGAAATTCATCTCAGGCCTAGTGTTGCTGAAATGAATAGTATTCACAAGAATGATTTTGACCTTTGTGGTTATGGGCTTTTTGCTTTAGTTTTATTTTGTTGTAAAGCACCTGCAAGAATGTAATTCAGTAACTCAGTGGTTTAGGGTTTGAATTCTGCTCAGGCTGAGAATACAATGGATAAGATGAGAGGCAGGGGGGGTGTGAATATTCAAGTGAGGTGGTTTCAGAAACCTAAAATAAGACTCAACAAGCTCATTGGTAAAGAATACTAGAAGCCTAGACTCCCGGCAGTGTGTGCTGGACACATCAACCCAACTGAAATGTTCATTGCCATCCATTTCAAAAACCTGAACGTCAGTACAATTGTATGGAAAAGCACAGTTGTGAACTAAAATTATTATTTGCAGCAGGCATTTGCCACAAGGGCTAAAGCAACATAAAACCGAAAAATACCACTTTTCCCTCAGTTAAGTGTGTGAGACATTTGGATGTGCTGGCAGGAAAACAAATTGCATTGCAGGAGAAAGAAATGAGGCTTTCCCTCTGATATGTGGGGCTTAGAGGAGAATTATGCACTTAGAAGACAGTTCCAAAATATAAAATAGATAAAGTGCATAAAGATTTTTCGGAAAGAAATACTGTTTTGTATTGGAAATGTAATACTGTGCAACTGAGCACAACTGTTGTAGGTCCCATTTATTTAAAAATAATCAGTATATCAAAGATAGCAAAGTCTATTTGCCTATGTTGCTATGGTGACAGATTAATGTCATTGTGGCTAGCTGCCTTTGCCTAATCAGATAATCTAATATGGCTGGTTTTAATTATTCTCGCAGTAAGGGCATAACTACTTTTTTTGTTTTCAAATCTGGGGGTTTGCCACCATGGAATACAAGCAATTCAAAGATGCTCTCTATAGCATCTCTGCTGAAGTAGAGAACCAGTTTTGTACTCCCTGTTTTTTTTGTTGTTCCTATTTTTATATCCATACTCGGGGCATCAGTGACTAATATTCAGCTCCTTAATCCTCTCACAGAGAAAGAACTTCATGATAGATTGCTGCTTCAGTGGGATGATTTGCCAGCTTATTTTCTCCAATTTGCTCACATTCCTCCTTGATATGGCATCAGTCAGAGGATGAGAAAAAGCCAAAGGCATTCCATTTACAGAGAAGCCTATTTCGGATGCCACAGAGGGCATTGGACCAGTTGCTGCCATTTTAAAGACCTCCCAGTTCTGCCAAGGATAGATTCTTAGTCTGATTTCTTTCTGGGACTCTGGCAGGCCCTTGCACTCTCTCATGGCAAAATGTCCAAGAAGTAAGGGTATCAATCTCCAGAGACATCTGATCCTATACAAACAGGTATTCATCCTGAATTCCCTTGGCTTCTCTTTGTTATTTACTCCTTCTCTCTGAATAAATCTGTCTTGGAATGGAAAAGCCTCACTATGGACTCTTTGTAGTGTAGCTATCTCTTCAATGTTGAGCACTGCTGTATTTTCTCTGGTGCTTGCAGAAATACCTGGTAGCACTAATGAGGATATGGGATCTCTCTATGCACACATTATGTACCTTTTTAGATGACTTTTCATTATAAAACAGACCTTTCCAGAAAGACTTCAGAGCAGACTACCTCTTCTACATCTATATTGGTTTATACAGAATCTTAAGAGTTCTCTAATTTTGCTTAAAACAAAGAAGAAAAAAAGTTTTAGAAAACCTAGTGATCAATCTAGCACTGCTAAGGCTATTTGAGGAAGGGCCATGCCAGCCTGCTTGCCCAGGCATACAGTATGAAGCATTTATATCTGTGATTTACAAGAAGCTATATGATTCTTAAATATGAAAAGATCTGATCTACTTGCTGAGGTGCTCGGTAGTGGGACAAAGAGGCAAAAAGATCTGATAAATTGTGAGAGAAGGTACTGGATGTGTGCTAGTTAAATCATCAAGAAGGCAGCAAGTCAGAATAGTCCTTTGAGCAAGCAGAGTTCTATTTTTCTGTTAAAAAACTTGGTGTATCCCTGAATCAACAGTCTCTCTCGTGCACCCACTGAGAGAAGACTCTTTCCCATGTTGTATTTAGGAGGCGAAGCAGATTCTTTCTGTTCTCTCGAATAATTCAAAAAGGTTAACTATGGCTGATGGAAGTCTATACATAGTGGGCTTATGTTGGGTTTTGTTATCTTTATCCAAACTTGATGTTTGTCCCTTGAGATAGGTGTCTAGTAAGCGCAGTGCTTGAACCAGTGGAGACTGTCTTCATTCCAGTTTCAAGTATTATATTAATGAACTGTACTAGAAGAGAATTTACTTACATACTGCAAATAATAAAAATAGCAATTAAGTACAAATAATGAATATACTTTGATAATGAGGCACATTCCTAGGAAAAGGCCGATGTAATGCAATGTAAAATTCCTTTGCCTTTGCTCTGAAAGCAGCTTGATGGTTGCCATACAGAAGAAGGTGTATCTGCAACCCACTTTAATTTTGGAATAGTGTCTCTTTTATATGATCTATAGCCAGATCATATGTGGAAGCTCTGTTAATCATAAATTACAGGGGATGCGAAGTAAAGGCATTCAGTTTTGGGAGAATTCCAGAATATAGGTTACCTGTACATCTAAAATGTGGCTGTGTGGAACAAGTAGCTGCAAGATAATTTATTTTGTTTTATTTCCAATATTAAAGGTGTGTGGTTTTACAGTACACTGTTGAAAATCTCTGTGAATACCAAATTATTGGCATTCTCGTGGGCTTTTTTTATAGTGCTTGTCATGGTAGTATCAGATTATGTTGCATGTGTTAACTACGCATCTATGGGATGAGTGCTGATTATCTCATTTATACAGGCAAAAATACTTTTCTTGTTAGTGGTTCTGTCTCTTTGGAACAAAACTTGACTGATTTCTTTTGGGGAAAAGAGGTAGATGTTTTTTGCAAGTCTATCTCAAAAGGCCAGCCTCGTATAGGTTTTTTTCCCTGGGCTTGTTAGTGGGCTAAAAGCAAAGCATGACTAAAATCAGGTATTTTATAAGCAGAACTTTAAGGCAGTATAGTGGATAAGCTACATACTCACTCTGCTTACTGTAAGTGTTGTCCATCACGTTAACTGTCCATCTAGAATAAGGTGATAGGGTTGTCCAATGTGTGCCTTTAACAAATTGCCTCCAAATCCATGAGTAAAACTGAGAAAGGGATGCGGATCCAACTACTATGTTAGCTATGGATTACTATTACTATGTTGGTATGGATTACCAGTTTTCTTAGGGATATTGGTGGATCTTCTCTGGGGCTTTTTTTCTTAATTTTTATTTTCCCCTCCACACCAGGAAACTGAGGATGTACAGCACAGTCAAGGCTGTTGCTATTGGTGAAATCATTACACTTCACAATGTTGTTCTCTCCACTTCAGAAGCAGCTTTCAGTAAAACTCTTCTCCTTCACCTTTCCCTACTAACCAAAACCGCTGCTGTGTCCTGAGAGGATGCTGGATGCTTTCTTTCCTTCATGACTGTTGCCTGGAGGGTACAGTGCAGCTCTGCTTTTCACCTCCACACGTTGAGCTCCCCGCCTGCTGATCAGGTGTGACGGGCTGTGCAGCTGGGGGAAATGTTCTCTACATCACTGGCACAAGCAACCCCAGTTTCCTGGGAAACAAGTGCCTTCATTAGCGCTAAGACTCTGTTACAGGCAACAAACTATTCTTACCCTTAGTGAGTAAGCATCCCCTCTTACATAAAAATAGAGTCCTGCAATTTGGGAGAAATTATTACACAATGAAATATTGGAATGATGGATAATCTGCGGTGTGAAAGCTTTCAAATTCTGGATGGGTGAAAGCAGTTGCAGGAAAAACACATTTGTAAAAGGCGAGGAAAAAAACCCCGCATCTCCGGAATACTTGTAAGTATGGGTCTGATGAGTAAAATTTAATAAAAACAGTCTGCAACTTGCAATTGTTCTGGGTATTTGCGCTACTGTTCTATTTCAAATGCTTATAATAGCCTATGAATTCAAAGACATACGTATGTTCTTTGTTTTCTGCTGCAGATCTGGAGTCCTTACAAGCAGCCTGACTGCACGGGGGATCTCGATGGTAGAATTGAGGACGATTCGCGTTGCCTCTACACTCACGAAGAGTACATCAGCCTGGTGTTGAACAGTGGTAGTGGATTGTCCCATGATTATGCCAACCAGTCAGTCCAGGAAGATCCAAGGATGATGGCCTTTTTCGACTCCCTGGTGCGCCGGGAGATCGAGGGCTGGAGCTCAGACTCAGACAGTGACCTCAGTGAGAGCACCATCCTGCAGCTCCACGCAGGAGTGAGCGAGCGCTCCGCTTACAGCGAGTCGGAGTCCTCTGCCTCTTTGCATCACTCCCCACCACACGTGGCTGAAGAGTCTGACGAAACTGCCTATAACTTAAGGGCCTTAAGATCAACTGAATCCCCCTCGGCCAGAGAAGACGTGGCTTCCCGTCAGCAGAGGCTCTCCGCGCTGAGGAAGTATCAGGACAAACGTCTCCTGGCTCTTTCCAATGAGTCTGACTCCGATGACAATACCTGTGAGGCAGAACTGGATACAGACCTTTTCCCACGACCGCGGTCCCCAAGCCCTGAGGAGAACGAATCCAGCAGCTTCAGCAGCAGCAGCAGCACAGAAGATGAAGAGGAACTGAATGAACGACGCACGTCTATGAGGCAACGCAACGCCTTGAGGCGCCGGCAGAAGGTGCAAAAGGAGGAAAGGACTAGCACTAACACGGAGAACGTGACCCCCTACATAGGTGAGGACATCTATGATTACCCCCAGATCAAAGTAGATGATCTTTCTTCTTCTCCAGCTTCTTCACCAGAAAGGAGTTCAGCCAACAAAGAAGTTCTCAAAGAAAGGACTTCTCCTTGTTCAGACAGCGAATCAGTGGAGAGAAAGATTTACAAAGCTTACAAATGGCTTCATTATTCTTACATATCGTATTCGGCTAGTAAAGATGGTGAATCCTCCAGAGGAGATGGAGACAATGATGAAGGGAAACCAGGAACTAGTGGAAGGCACAGTACGTCACACTCGCTAAATAAGGAAGATGCTAGGAACTTGAGTTCAGTAGGTCCTCAAGGTTCCCCAGCTCTTTCTACCGAAAGCCACAACAAAGAAACTTTAAAAGAACGTGGCTTGACAGAAAATTCTAGTAATGGTCAAGCTCATGAATGTGACAATCAGCGGCGGACGGAGGGTCAAGAGAACACATCTGAAGATGCTAGCAGCGGAGGTATAGAGCATCCTTTTGAGACTACAAAACTCAATGGAAAAGCTAACCGCAAAGGGCTAAATAGTTGTACTGAAGAACCTTGCATTCAGACGGCAGGACTTGTGGAACAGAAAAATAACCAGAACTGTCAACCAGCATCAAGCCATCACTCACTGGTCCCTCCATTCTCCGCTGTGGCCATCTGCAGCATGTCGGGTCACTGCTCCAGAAACCAGACTGAGGACAGTGAGGAGAGGAGCCTCGACACCTCCTGCGTTAACCACAACAACAACGGCCACTTGCATCTTCGCCCCTCCTGCTTCAACAACGGACAGAGCTGTGGGGAGCAGGAGGCTGGGACGCAGGGACTACAGGGGCGCTCGAACGCTGATCGTGGCAACCTTGCACAGACGGGTGTGACCTTGCACAAAGACTGCTGCCTGTCTGAGCTGGGCTCCAACAGCTACAGCCTGAGCACAAGGGAGGATGCTGCTGACTTGCACCCTGCGGGCGCTGAGAGCGCTCAGTCTCTCGGAGGACTGAAAAGACACAGAGCGGAGTTGGAAGACGCAGATTCAGAGAGTTCGTCCTTAGAAAAGAAGTTAAAAACATGATAAATGCAAATGTCTGTCGTAGTGTGCACTCTCTCTCAAAAAAAAAGGAAAAAGAAAGTATTAAAGGCACATAGAGCTTGGGTCTGAAACATTGCGTTTGATTCTCCATTCCATTCTTCAGTGGGTCTGTTTTAGATTGCCAATGGTTCATGCTGTATAAAAATCCAACTTACTCCTTAATGAGACTGAGTCTAGTGTACCCATACAAGGTTCTGTTTAAAGTAAATCCTTATTAAGACGGTTGACTGAATTATTCTTGTGTGAACATGTGTCGTTTGTTCAGCCAGCCAACCAGGATGACTGCTTTAACTTTTAATTGTTCTTCTGAGGAGGAGTTTTTCCATACTGACACTTATTACACATTACAGGCGGAAGAATGATTGAATTAGATCACATTGGTGGTAGCTTGGGGTGTGTTTCTTGTTGAGGAAAACAGGAAAGAAGCCTTTCTGGGCCCCTTATTCTGCTTCAGAAACTAAAGAAATGCAATCATTAGGGAGGATATTTTCAGAACTGACTGGTATCTTTAGAGACGAAACTTCATAAAACACTTGCTTCTGATACAGTTCAGTGACATTATTTTTATGCCAACAGAAAAGCTATAGGAAATGAGCCTCTTTCCAAAATCAACTTTAGACTGTTCCCATGGTGACATTCAATTTTGTGGGTTTTTTAAAAGAAAAGAACTGAATAACACAGTGTCATCACTGTACTAAAATGTGATTGTTTGCCAAGAGGAAAGTGTTATGTCGTAGGCCTCACTCTAACCAAGGGCTATTAAAAATCAGGCATTGAAACGGGCCCTTCCGTGAGTTTAACACGTAGAGATTCATTATTATCATTAAGAATCTGATTGTCAGTGTTGGGATGTGTTTTGATTGTGCCCTCCCCTTCCCCCCTGTGCTTACTTTTGGGAGGCAGTGGGCCAAAGAGAAAATAGTAGCAGAATGGATAATGTCCCCGGTGCACGTTAACAGCAACACTTGCTAACTTCTGAAAACTGCTTTTTTTAGCAGTTTTCTTAGCCCAAAGCTCAAAAGAGGTTGGCATTGGAGATGGGGGTTGGTTTCCCACCACTGCAGGTTGGTGGGTGGATTCAGCAGAGCTGTGTGTGTTTAGGAGAGCTTCAGAGAAACGTCCCCACGTGTGAGGACTTGGGGACTCCAACTCTGGCAATTGGAACCGGAGCAAGAGTGTAGCTCTGTCTGCCAGGAGCTGGTGTAACGTTCAAGAGTCCTTTCCTGCCTGGGCTCTGGTTTTGATGGAGTATCTTGTGAGTCCTCTCAGTCCTGGCATGCTGGAACTGCACTTGCTTCCCCAGCCACAAGGTAAGAGGAGTCGGAGTGTGAAGGGAAAAGAAACCACCGGTAAAAGACAGGAAAACCACTTGTTTGTGTCTTGCAGTGCTGACAACAGAAAAAGAGGCTTCTTCTGACCCCATTAATTGTCATGGGCTTTCAACCCAGTACTGAGGAAGGATCAGATTATTTTAAGGAGTTGGAGATTTTTGCTTTTGGTATGACTCTAGCAGTACACTAATTGTTCTGGTCTCAGAATAACTTTCATATGCACAGCCACCTGGTACCTGGGGAAAGGAGGAAGATGCCCTGTTAAAACATGGTGGAAGTAAGGGAGCAGTTGAGAAGGGATGCTGGGGGGGAACGGTGTGGGGCAGAGAGTGAAGAACACGAGTTGGAAAATTGTCTTACTGTGTGCCATGGGCTGTGTGCCCACCCTTGGTCAGCTTCACTAAGTGAGAACTTGGAAGATACAATGTCGTATTTAAGAAGGGCGTAAGAAGGTGGAAAGAAAGGGATGTTTTGAAACAGGAGTGAAAGTGACAATAAGGACAAGCTGATGTATTGTCGCCTTATTGAAAAAATTGTTCTGGACTGATTCTATTTTAGAGTGCTGCAATCAAGATCACTATAGGAGCGTTCTCCTTGGTTGTAAAAACACCTTATTGTAAATGCTGGGCTTTAGCCAAAATCTTGAGGTTGCTGAGTCAAAAGCTTTTTATTTTTTTTATTTTTTTAAAAGTCCTTTACATTGGAAAATTTTTTCAGTTGTCACTTTTTAGGCTCGGCTCTCCTCTGAAGAATGCCCAGATTGCTGGTGAATGGGCATCTCCACTCTCCTTTGACATATGGTCATCTTTTTTTAGTGTTATCTCCAATGCCTTGTGGTCTCGCTTTCTGGTTCTTTTGTTTGTTTTCAAAAGCAGAATAAAAGCTCCGGGGTTTGGTGTTAAGGCTCCTCGACAGACTCTGGGCATAAAGGTGTGCTGTGGTTTCCCCAAAGACAGCCCCCCATCCTCTCTGCAGCGTCTTGTTTCTAGCCTCTGTGGGGCAGGAGGAGGAAGGTGGGCTGCAATCCTAACCTTCTGTTTGCAGGAAGTGTCAGTGCAGACCAGAGCTGTGACTTCCCAATCAGTGGCTTCACCTCCTGACACTGAGAAGGGTTATCAGCGCTGGGCAGCTGCGGCCTCTGGAAAAGAGCAAATAAAATCAAGCAAGCAGGGGCAGCACGGCTGCTGCAGGGAGCCAGCAGTGGCAAGAGCCGCCCTTCCTCAATGCTGTGCCTCTGCTGGCTGTCCCCACGCTGGGCCACTAGCCCTGCTGGGCCACTAGCCCTGCTGTGCACTGGCCATTCCTGGGCTGCAGGATGGGAGTGGGGCTGGGTGTTTGGGGTTGCCGCTCCCCGCTTCTGGGGACAGAGGGAAAGGCTGTTCCGTGGAAAATCTTACAAGTTTATCTGAAGTGATTTCACCTTTTCTTAAAATCTGTGCCACGGACTGAGAAATGAAAAGGTTGTGTAAATATTGAACTGCCTCGTTGGCCACCCGCTGTTTGCTTATGGTGCAGCTGGTTATGGCAGGACATTTGCTGGGCCAGGTTGTACAGTTCATCTCCAGAAAAATCTTATCAGTGGGGAAGAAAACTCCCTTAGCATCTCTTCCCAACACTCGGGGCAGAGAAAGATTGATCTTTAAAGAAGCTCTTTTTTTATATATATATACCTACAAGCTTATTTCATCTTCCTCTGTTAATGAATGAAAAACCAACCTGTTTGTGAGAGAGTCAAAGCTGACTCTCCCTCTGAAGCAGGCAGGCACCAGGCTTCTCTGGGCTGGGGTATTCACCCTTTCATAGATACAGGAGGATACGAGATCTATCAACCAAACTTCTGCTGGGGTTTTCCCAGCTCTCAAGTGATCCTCTTGCCAGAGCTGGGGGGTCTTGTCTGAAGTGAGTGGCCCAATGGAGATGACACTTTGCTGTGGAGGAGCAGCTCCTTCTCGCAGGCAAAGCCCATGTGGAGAGGTACAGCTGCCCAGAGAAGGGAAGAGCACAGGGGTTTGGCCATGACCATACCAGTTGATTGCAGTATGTTCTGAAATCCAGCCCATCTCTGTTGGAAGAATAATTGGGAAGGGACAACTATTTCAGAACTTTTTATCTTCAAAAATTGCAGTGGATTTTTTTTTTCTCCTTAAGTTTCATAATGGAATAAGTGATTGAAACCTGGTCCTAATCTCTGCTTTAAGCTATGTCGCTTGGTGGCTAGAAAAGCATTCTTCCTCAAATATTTAGAAGATAAATGCAATTAGGTCTACTTCTGAGGTCCTGTACGTGCCTGCACTGTCACCTCCCAGTGAACAGAGAGAGAGAAGCTGCTGTGGCTCAGTATTACTGAGGTCTTGGGATGCTTTCATTCGCAGTTATTTATTTTGCTGTTTGCACACAAGAGCAAGACAGGATTTTTATTACGTTGTCATTGAGTTAAAATGATTCCTGTTGGTGAGTTTTCATCTTTCTCCAGGCAGTGCTATTGAGAGAGAGGCCATTGGCACCTGATGCTTTCTCTGGTTTTCTCCCACTCAGATTCTGGGGAGGTTTTTGCCAGACCTGGGAAGCTCAGAGCTCTGATGAAGGGTCTGCAGGGTACCAGAGAGTCATACACATTGCTGCCACGACTGAGTTACCGTGAGCGTAGGCACCTAGTTCTTCAGGAATTCTCTAATAAGCTAATTCTAGCACATAACATAATTTATAAAACACATGAGTTCACTGCTGGGCCAGGGTGAACTACTTAACCCAGCTGATGCTGTACGAGCATGAAGGAGAACTTTGTTTCAAACACCTACTGAGAAAATGGAAGTTGTTTGGGGGGGGGGACAAACCAAACCAAAAGCCCCCCAGAAACGCACACACACGCACCCCCCGTTGTGGCAAGTTTGCTAAAGTTTTCTTTAGTGGCTGTGTGTTTCAGCAGCAGTGAAACTTCAGAAGAGGTGTCAGTGTGTTGTGTTGCTGTAGGGAATGAGCAGTCTGGATTTGATGCTTGTGCTCTGCCTGGTTCCAGTGGAGGACTGGAAGCTGGGTCTCCTGCCTTTCACTTGAGTGTCCTGAACAACCCAAGCATCAGGCTGTTGCCTTACTCAGGAGCGGGCTTTGTTCTTCTTGGTCTGAAATGCAAAGGGGAAAGGAAATGGCAAACAGCTCCCCAAATACTGGAGCAGGGTCCTGACCCCAGCTCTGCCGATTTACAGTTTGCTGAGAAAATGCCAGAGAATTCTCCTTCTCCCTTCTCCACCTCCTGTGATCTTCTTTGGCACAGGGAGCAAGAGGGAGATGCTGACCCAGCCGTATGCACACCCTGCTTGTCTTGGGCCTGGGAGAACTGTCCTTTCCAAATCAGCTGGCATGTGTGTGGTTGGGTTTATTTATTATTTTCCTGTAGACCTCCCAAACGAGTGCCCAACCAGTGAGCTGTTTGTTCAGGGGTATGGCTGCCAGGCTCAGCTCTTCTCTCTCATGAGTATTTCTCTGTTCAGTTCTGGCCTGGATTATCAGCCAGCATCTCTGGAGCTGCTGTGCAGATGTGGGTTGGCATCATCGTTGCCGTTGGAGCTGATGGGAGTTGTCCCTCTGCTGGAGCTGCCATTGGCACACTGGCTGTTTGGAAGTAGGTGGCACAAATCAGCAAAAAATGTTTTCACTGTTCCTATAAATAGGCAAAAAACCTTCCTGAATTTGAACTTTTGATGGGGACCAGGTCCTTCACAGCCAGACGATGCCCCTAGCTATACACCAAGCGCTTTTGTGTGATCAGATGCTACAGAAGTTGGTTGTTTCTAGGTAGAAACTACTTCTGGGACCACACTACCATGAGCCAGTGGTCTGCAGCATTTTACTTCACAAACCACAGCTGCCTGTAGCAGTATCAACAGCTGAAAACACCAGCTCC